CACCACATCTCTATTTTTTAAAATTTTTTATTGTTATGTTAATCACCATACATTACATCATTAGTTTTAGATCCACATCTCTATTTTACTTCAGACCCATTAATACTCAGACAAGCAGAATTCTTGCTCAACAAGGACAGATGGAATAATAGTTCATCAACTTGACAACTTCAACAGTAGGTCAATGATGAAAACCACAAGTGCATGTTGATATGTGTTCTTTGGTTGGTTTGTTTGTTTTTGCAACTTTCATATTTCTTTTCATGTATCTTTGTTTTTTTTTTAAAGTATGCCCCACTGCCCAGTGTGGAGCCCAGTGTGGGGCCCAGTGTGGGGCTTGAACTCACGACCCTGAGATCAAGACCTGAGTTGAGATCAAGAGTCAGACACCTAACCAAATGAGCCACCCAGGCACCCCTCATGTAACTGTTTTTTAATAAAAGCAATTCACTAAGTCTATGAATGTAATTTTATTTGTAGGTTTTTATAGGCCTGTTCACATTTACAAATCATCTGACAATGTGTCCAAAATTTAGTCAGGAAAATATGGATAATGTAGTATCCGTAGTATGTTCTTTTGCCAAATCCTAAGGTAACCAATCTCAGAAGGGTCTGAGTAGGGTGCCCACTAGAGGGCGGTATGGATCTCCCAAAGGACTGACAAACACAAACACTTCAGGTCTTCCTTTCAGCTTTACACATCACTAAGGACCTGTTAATTCAGGATTGCTAAAAATGAGGCATTTGTAAACTAAAATTTGCACATTACTCAATGTCCCCCAGAATCCAATTTGGCATTCTACTATGATCCTGCAGCCTGTGAGAAAGTCACAAAGCTCCTACCTGCAAGCAAACATGGGGCTTGTTGGGATTCTTTCAATTTCCTGAGCTTTTTCTCATCAGAGCATCAGCAGCATTGGTCTGAGGTGGTCGAATTGCTATTCATGCTCTTTAATCAACTGCTAGCTTTGTTTCATCATCATCATCTCTTCAACATCACATGGATTGTTTGATTCTCCCCTTCAGGGTATTGTGATGCATTTGCATCAAAAGTAATTTCACTTTGTGTTTCAGGTGTCTATCTTATTGTTAAAGTGGACATATACAAACTCCCTCAAAATCTGCTTGTGACAGTGCATTGGTGATGTTCTTTCAGAGAATAAAAGCTAGTTAAATAATTTATAATATCAAGACAAGTGTTGTAAAAGTATTACCTACTTTAAAGTTTATAGGACATTGTTTTATAATTAAATGGGTAAATTCACAGTCTCTCATATGGTATATAGTAAGTATGTAGTGAGCAACTCTAGCAATAACTTTTCTGCAACTTTTAATTTTGTTCCTTTTTAATTCTATATTACCACCAGTGCTTTTTCGAGTAAGGCCGTATGCATGGGTGAGTAAAATAGTTTTTATGATCAAAGCCATTTGAAAGTTTCTGTTCTAAACCCTTTGAGTGGATTATAAATGTTTACCCTCACAATCCTTAAACATTACACAGGAGCATCAAAATAATCAATATGGGACTTCTTTCCAATTTCTCACCTTGCTCATCTAAAGACCCTGGCTATCCAGATCTACTTCTATAATTGTAGTGCTGTCTGTCATGTTTCATCCCAGCCTCCCCATATGAATACATCAGTACGAATCCCAGGACATATCTCATCATGATATGATTATCTGTTTCTTGGCTGGCACAAATGTCACTTTCTTTTTTTTTTTTTTAATTAATTGGTGTTTTTTTTTAAAGATTTTATTTATTTATTTGAGAGAGAGAATGAGAGACAGAGAGCATGAGAGGGGGGAGGGTCAGAGGGAGAAGCAGACTCCCTGCTGAGCAGGGAGCCCGATGCAGGACTCGATCCTGGGACTCCAGGATCGTGACCTGAGCCGAAGGCAGTCGCTTAACCGACTGAGCCACCCAGGCGCCCCAAATGTCACTTTCTTAGAGAGGCCTTCCTAGAACATCCTGTTAATCTGTGTGTCACTCTCTGTCCTATTACCCTGTTTTATTTTCTTTGGAGTAATTATCAGTATATGAAATCATCAGTTTGTTACTTGAGAAGATCAAGTATCTGTCTTACTTATTTATCCCCAGCTCTTAGATAAAATGTCTACCACATAAATAAGCACTTAGTAAAGATTGGATACATGAGTAAATGAATGCTTCGCTCATTCCATTTATTCCATGGTGCTGTTCTGGGGACCAGATGACTTGATGATCCATAGAGGCAGAAGTTCTCCTTTGAGCCTGATGGCATGCCCCATGTACATAATGTCTGAATTCCCATCTTCTATCAAGGATCTCTGAGTTGGTCTGACTCAGAGTAGAAACTGTGTCTGACCTGAAGTCGTGGGTGATTTCCAAATCAAGGAAGCGTGCAGAGCTGACAGGTGAGTGGGGAGCTGCAGTCCGTGGGCTCCTGGTGAGTCATATGGTGGAGGAGGGCCAGGGACAGACATTGATGAAAACTGAATATATGGAGTCAGGAGTCAGAGAGTCAGGGAGATGGCAGCAGGGAGCGGGGGAATGAGAGAATAAGCAGGAAGGAAGTGGTAGGCACAGAGAATTGTGTGGTGGGTTATGTATTTTTTGTTATTGTTTGGCAACTTTATTGAGATATAATTTACATACCACAAAATTCACGTATTTAAAGTATATAGTTCCATGGTTTTTAGTATATTTACAAAGTTATGCAATCATCACCAGTCTAATTTTAGGACATTTTTATCATCTCCCAAAGAAATCCTATACCCCTTAGTGTCATTCCTCATTCACCTGCCCTTTTCTCCTCCAAGTCCTAGGCTACCACTAATCTACTTCCTGTCTCTGTAGATTAGCACATTCTGGACATTTCATTCAAGTGGGATTATATAATATGTGGTCTTTTGTGACTGGCTTTTCTCTTACTTAGCATAATGTTTTCAAGGTTCATCCATATTGTAGCATGTATGAGTGCTTCATTCCTTTTTATAGCCAAATAATAATATTTCACTGCATGGATATAAAAAATGTTATTTATCTGTTCATCGGTTAATAGACATTTGGGTTGTTTCAGCTATTTTGAATAATGTTGCTATGAACATTTGCTCACAAGTGTTTGTGTGGACATAGGTTTTCATTTCTCTGGGGCATGTATCTAGGAGTGGAATTGCTGGGTTATAGGGTCACCCTATGTTCAACACTTTGAGGAGCTGCCAAATTGTTTCCCAAAGCGTCTATGCTATTTTGTGTTCTATTGTGGGGCTATTTCTGGTAGATGATTTTATGAGTTTGTTCTGGACACTTGAACCATCTGAGTACCAGGAGAACGAGTGTGTCGTCATTCTGCCTGGATCCTGCCGTTCAACTACCGCTGCACAAACCCCTGGCCCCCTGAGGCCCAACCTGCAGTGATTCTAATGTACTAATGTACTAATGTAACCCCAGAGGTGTACTGTGATTAGTCAGTCCCAGCAAGCCCTCCATCTGTTCATGCATTAGTCACCCTTCAGAGTCCAAGTTAACACTACCTCCTCTGCTACCTCCGTTGTTTCAATTCTGACTGCACATTAGAATCTCATGGGGAGCTTTCAAATATACCAAATCCAGGGTCCACACCAAAGTTCTAATTTAATTGGTCTGGGAGAAGGCCTGGGGGCTAGGATTATTTAAAAGGCTCTTCAGGGGTGCCTGGGTGGCTCAGTCTGTTCGGTTGAGCATCCGACTCTTGGTTTTGGCTCAGGTCATGATCTCATGGGTCGTGAGATCGAGCCCCGTGTGGAGCCCCATGTAGAGCCCCGTGTAGGGCTCCACGCTCAGTTGGGAGTCTGCTTGAGGAGTCTCTCCCTCTGCCCCTCGCCCCACTCATGCGTGCACTCGCTCTCTCAAATAAATAAATAAATCTTGGGTGCCTGGGTGGCTCAGTTGGTTAAGCGACTGCCTTCGGCTCAGGTCATGATCCTGGAGTCCCGGGATCGAGTCCCACATCGGGCTCCCTGCTCAGCGGGGGGTTTGCTTCTCCCTCTGACCCTCTCCCCTCTCGTGCTCTCTGTCTCTCATTCTCTCTCTCAAATAAATAAATAAAATCTTTAAAAATAAATAAATAAATAAATAAATCTTAAAAAAATAAAAAAATAGAAGTCTCTTCAGATGATTCTAATGTGCAGACAGGATCGAGCACCACAGTTCTGCTCCCATTAGAAGAATCCTTTCTTCTCTGAACTTCACAGCAGTTTCTTTTCAATGGCACTCCCCAAAACTTTAAAAACAGATTCTACATTTAATTGCAATTATTTAAAATATATATTTTATTTGTCCAGCTGGGCCACAAGCTCTTTGAGGACAGAGCTGTGTTTGATTCATCCTCAAGTCTCCATCTGTCAAGGGACATCTGTTTATAGCACCACCTATGCTCCTGGTGCTTTTCTGGAGTAATGCATAGGAGCCCGCCGGGCAGCAAATTATCACGAAGCCTTCCCTGGCCACCCACCTAAACTTGCAGTCTCCTCCTCCCCCACCTCCCATTCTTCCTTCCCTAATTTGCTTTTTCCCCTTGGTGCTTAGCACATGCTCTATGTTTCACTTATTATCTTCTTTATTGTCAGTCAGTCTCCACCCACCCTCCATGAGGGTAGAGATTTTTGTCAGCTTGACTCATTGCTGTACCCTCAGCACTCAGAACAGTGCCTAGCACATGGTAGGTGCTCAATAAGTATTTATTAAAAGAATAAATAAATATGTTAGCCTATATGTAAAAAGAGGTTTAATCCCTTTCCTCTATACCAGTGAGTTAGTTTTTTTGGTAAATACTTGCAGTCATTTATTATAAAGCCTTCCTTTTCCAGTAAAAGTTATATTTCTAACATAAATGTGTAAATTCTGAATTCATTATGTTTTAGAAATATAGTCCTATTTCTGAGAGAGTCTGCAGAGGTTCTATGTAAGCCCTGCAGCAGGGATCATGGCATATCTGGAACTATGTATGCAAATTGGAGCAGAGGAACGGGGTCTGGGATGGTCAGTTGAAGCTGGAGAAACCTGAACACTGGCTTGCTCTTGCACCGTTAGAATTCAACTCCTGGGTGTTCCAGAGGATGATGACCGTGATGATGGAGGAGGCCAAGAAGAACAGGTAGAGGTGGAAGAGGAAGGTGTCCATCATGTGGCTGAACTGCATCCACAGGTCAGCTAGCTGGGTGCTTGTCAATCCTGAAGCCCCATTCAGCTCTGCCTCTCTGGGTCCCAGCTCCTTCCCTACCAACTGCCCTGGCTCCTTCGGTCCTGTAGGGAAGACAGAGACTCAGCCGTGAAGTGGGAAGGAGACAGGATTGGGGAAGTGGGGGACTGGGGAGGCTGGGCCCAGTGTAGACAGTATAGGCAGTGCAGATTTTCCTTACCAGGTAGGTGAGTGGGCATGAGGCCTGGGCTCACATTCTCCTTCCAGAGTGCAGTGGGGCAACATTTCCTTGGGCTGGCCCAGTAGAGGAGCAGAGGGTAGAGCCACCGAGGCATGGGTGGGGGCTGGCTGGTGGCCAGGTACAGCAGGTAGGTGATGAAGATGGTCTCCAGCAGGCTGACCGCCATCAGGGACAGACACAGGGCAAAGTAGACACCTGGGATGGGGGTGAGGAGCATGCATGAGAGAGGTCCAGAAGAACCAGCAATCCCCCCTTTTCTCTGTCTCGCACAGAGAGCCCTTTCTGAGATGCCTGCTTTCTCCCTTCTGCCTTAGCTGTCTGAGCAGGTCTAGCAGTGTCTACCTTGCCTTATTCCCCCCCTCCACTTTCCAACAGTGAGGAGGTGGGCATACTGATGAGGGGGTGCCATTAGCAGGAAGTAGTTTATTCATCATGAGCAGGAAGACGTTGTAGCCCAACAGAAGGGTTATCTTGAATGGGACACGATTCCCCCTTTCTGCCGGCAGGTAGAAGCTGAGGGCATCAATGGCGATCAGAAAGCTACTGGGCACCAGGAGGTTTATGACATAGAGGCTGGGCCTGTGCCTGATGGCCACCTGGGGGGAGGAGAGAACCAGGTGAAGCTAGGACTGAGGGGAGCCTGGGGGATGATTCCAGTCCCTCCCTTGGTGTCCTCAGCCCAATAGGAGCTCTTTCTGGGGCTGGTTAAGAAGCAGCCTTCACATGACTAAAAAGATTCTGCCATATCCACGAAAGAAAACCTATGCCTGAGCCGGCAGGTTCAGAAAGGGGGCTGCTCTGGGGGCCTTGGGAGAGAGGAAGGCTGTGAGGGTTGTGGCACCCAGTGGCTTTCTGGTCTTGGGACAGGAAGTGAGAGGCTCAGGCATTTAGAAAGACCTGATGAGGGAGATAAGGGGGACAGACACATCTCACAGTCTCTGGGCTTACGTAGAACATGATTTGGTCAAAAAGACTGGAGCCCACAGACAGCTTTGGGGTGGCCTTGTTGATGCCCAGGAGCTCCCACTCCCCTTGTGTGCAGACAATGTCACGTGAGGTGTCCACTATCTCCCACACTTCCTTTTCCAGGCCCAGCAACATGTTTTTCACTGCAGAGGGAGACAAACATTAATTCAACACACTGTTTAGCCCCTGCTCTGTGCGGGGCTCAGAGAGATGAGCTAGAAAACTGCTTTAGCTCCCTCTCTCTAGCTGCCCAGTAACATGGCTTCCTCGCTCCTCAGTCACCTCCTTTCAATTCTGGGCTTTCTCAGAAGTCTTGTCTCCTCCTTAGTTCAACTCCCCCACCCCACCACCCACACACCCCCGATCAGCAAATACTCCACTGTCCCTTTTTAGGCATTTAAAAAGATAACCTTGCTGTGTGTGCTGTTTTGTTGCCCCACTCATTGATCTCATTTTACCCCATCCCGGAACCCCCACCTCAACTCACCTGTGTAGAGGAAAGAGCTGAAGGTGAGTGTGCAGTTCTGCTGGTCAAAGGGGAAGTAGAAGATGTCCAGGCTACAGATGCTGGTCACCCGCATTGGTTTGTTATACACAACGTGACCGTCATTGGTCACATATGCAGAGAGGCCTTCCAAGGTCTGATCCACATCCATGCTAAGTGGTAGAAGGGGAGAGAGGCAGATGCTTTGGGTTCCACATCAGCTTAAGCTTCTCTTTTAAGGTGGGGCTTCCCAACATTACTCACTATGGCCATTCTGCCATCTTTTCTGCCCATCACTTTCTCATTTCTAGAAGAAACATCTTCTAGAAATAAGAGACGGTTGATGAGCCATGATTGTGCTCCTCTGAAATAAGTTTTTGGTGGTCCCACTGAATGGGTTTCCCCTCTACCGCCCTGGCCTGCCCCTTGCAGAAGGGTCTCTGCTCCAGCTTTCCCTAGCCCTGGTACCCACGATTCCATGACGAAGATGTCTGGGAGCCACAGGCTCTCAGTTGTCACAGTGAGTTTACTGATGGCACCACATTCTTCTGGATCCCAGCTGATGAATGGGTTATTCCAGATCTAGAGCACAGAGCACAGAGGGATGGTTATGGCTGAAACCTGGAGCTAGTTTATGTCAGCATATACCCTTCCATACACACACACACACACACACATACATATATACACGTGTATGTTTTTTTTTTCTAAATGTATGTACTACAGGCATATGATAAAATTTAACCATTCCAGAAAGGTATAATATAAAAAACAAGCTTCTCCCTCCTCAGTTCACTCCAATTCAGCTCATATCCCCAACTCAGTCTCCTTATTAACAGTTTCTTGGGTATCTTTCTAGAAAAAAAAATTAATACATGTTCCAGCATTCATTTTTACTTACATAGATAAACTCATACTTTGCACATTGTTATGCATGTCACTTTTTTTTTTTTAAAACCTCATTTCCTTTTAAACTCTGATTCCTCTTCTCTCCTGGTGATAACGTCCCCCTTGTCTAGCTAACAAAGTCTTGTTGGCCTTTCACTTCACACTCAAGGGAAATCGGAAACTGGGTGCTGGATACCTTTGGGCCTTGGAGCTTACTTAGGGGATTTCAACGGTACCTCCCCCTTCTTCCTGCATTTTCCATCTATGTCTTTCAAAGTTGTTTGGCAGCTCAGAAAGCTATTTGTCATCAGCATGGGCCCTATTTTGGTTGGATTTATCTACTCCCTCAGGCACTGCCAATTTCAACAAATGTGATTTTTGCAAACAAGCCCAGAAAAAAGGGGAAAAAGAGGGAAGAGAACTAAGCTGGACTTACATACCAACTTTAACCACAGAAATGATGTCAGCAGCTGAAGTTGTTCATCCTGACAAAAAGAAGTCCTCATGCAGGATGATTAATGCCCTGAGATCAGGTCCCAGTCCAGCGCTTGACTTTGTTTCCTACGTGGTCTCATGGGACTGTTCAGCTTTTCAGTCACAAGTCTCAAAAGAAACGTGGGTCCAAAAAATGCAGGTTACATGGAAAATGTAGGGGGAAAGACAGCACGGGGGCCCACTGGAAATATGTTTTATCTGCCTATAGGGACAGAACTCAGGACAAATATTCCCTGCAGAAACGTCGCTGCCATGTTCCCCTTCACGTCTCTCCATCCCATAGGATGGACATCTGACTTGTAGAGCATCTGGGGATGGATTGCTCGCCACTGGACCAGTGGAAGGTTGGGTTGCCAGGGGGAAGACTCCTTGTTCCCTACTAGCAGCCAATGGAAAGAGTGCAGGAGTCAGAACTCACCACTTCCAGGATGGCAGACAAAGTGAAGGAGATGTTGACCTGAGTGGGGATGCTGTAGTTGATGACTGGACGGAAGTCCTTCTGGTTAAATATAGTCTGGAAGGCAGCAGGGTCCACCCCGTGCTGGTCAAAGCCTGAGTAATTGACGGTGAAAGTGTTTGACCTTCTTGTAGAGAGCAGAGACCCTGTGAGATGGGAATAGGACTTTTGTGTGTCCTATGTAAGAGGAGTACCAGGGCTGAAGCCTGAGAGCCTCTCTGCAGAGAAAGAAAATGTGGACACGGGGTGAAGCACGTGAGCCCCTCCTTCCTGGGCCAAGACTTCTGAAATCCAAGCCCTTCCTGCCAGGACTGGGGAGCATGGGCTGGTTTGGTAGGCAAATGGGGGAAGTTGATGTGATGAGCTGAACCAGGGCTCAGACCTTTCTTCCTGTGCTTTACTCCCATATAAAACCTCCCCAAATTTGTATGCGAACAGCCTCTCTGGGGAGTCCTAGTCCTTCCGTAGTCCCAACCCTGAAGTTTTGGCTTTTGTTTGACCATACTGTTTTCTTTCTAGCTCTATTTTGACTTATTCTCATAGTCACTGAACAAAATTTCCCTAAAATTTTGTTTCTTAATTACCCCTTCCCGCTTTCATGTTTTCCCATTTCCTGGAAGGAAAAATTTGGGAAGAAGTCAACCTGAGTGCAACCTGAAATATGTGGGGACTTACTGTTGCCCTGAATGTGAATTTACTGGCTACCCACTATGTGCTGCGCTCTGTGCCCTTCTCCAGCTCAGTGGCTTCCTCTAAGACCCATGGGAACCAGCTTCATGGTCACCATTCTGAGAGGATCTCACTGATCATCTACCATGTGCTTGGTGGAGCCAGGCAATGAAATGTAGAAGCCCTTTGGCTCCTCTGACCCTCATCCCAGCGACAGATGACTGTGTGGTTATTCCTGTAACTACAGCCCAACAAGTCCTTGTGCCTTGTCCATTACTCCCCCATGCCAGCTAACTCATAAGGTACATCTCCAAACCAAGGAGAAACACATCGCAAGGGAAGAAAATGTTGTCCTTTCCCCTCTACATCACCTCCTCTGCAAGATCTTCCTGAGTGAGGTGGGAAAAGAGCTATGTTCCTGTCACCAGGACCAAAACCACCCTGTTCATAGTTACTATGTCTTGGTAGAAAGGAAAAGTTGGACACTGTAAAGGAGTGGCATTGGAGAGGTGGCAAATGGAAAGGCAGTTCAGTAGATGCCTAGGCGGGCAGATGAAAGAGGGGCTGTGTGTACTAATCAGTGAAATGGGGTTTTTGTCTGTTTCCAAGGAAGCCATAACATAGATCCTACAGAGAAAGAAAATGTTTAACCCAGTTATTTTAGATGCTTTCTAGTTCTGCAGAATGAGAGGGTTCCTGTATTTTGCTCAGAACAGCATTCCCATCTTTCCTTGTTCTTGCCTCATTTTACCTGGAAGCAGAAGGCTGACAGTGAGGTAGAGGAGGACTTCCCCCTCCACAGGCCACCCCCCTTCCATCGTCCTCTTCTGGACTCTTCTCTGGGGACACACCAGGAGCCCCCAAACTCTTGAGCTTAAAGGAGCTCAGACCACACCTTGGTTCCTGGTTTTGAATAGTGCTCATGACAGGTGACCACTTCCTGGTGAGAGGCTGTAGCCAGAGAGGGCACAGCAGAGTGTCCTGCTTTGTCCCCATGCTGGTATGCCTTCTGGGCTCCAGGCAGGGGGGGATGTTAGGCCTTCAAGACCAGGGGAAAAACACCTGTTTAGCAGCCTTGTCTAGATGAGTGGTTTAAATCTGAGTTCCAAGTACTTTTTGGGGAAAATGGGGAATGTGGGAGATCGGGCAGGTAAAGCCATTGACAAAAGTCTCATCAGGTGCTTCTGGAACTAACTATGCCTCAGAGAAAGTGCATGGATCATTCAGAAATGGATGTGGTGGAGACACCTGCTAATTTCACAAGGCAAGAACATGTAATTATTTTGTTGCAGACTAGAAATGTATCCTTTATCCACTTGTGGACATTAGGGATTATTGTCAATAGTGAGTTAAAAGTATCGAGAGTAAGCTTCTTTTTCATGATGTAAACCTGACTAACAGACCTCTGCCCCCACAGCTAGCACAGCTAGTACAGATCTGCATCATCCCTTGTTTGCACTATTGGGACATCTTCCTAAGGTTTCCTCTGCTTGGGGTGCCTGGGTGGTTCAGTCGTTAAGCGTCTGCCTTCGGCTCAGGTCATGGTCCCAGGGTCCTGGGATCGAGCTCTGCATCAGGCTCCCTGCTCGGCTGGAAGCCTGCTTCTCCCTCTCTCACTCCCCCTGCTTGTGTTCCCTCTCTCACTGTATCTCTCTCTGTCAAATAAATAAATAAAACCTTAAAAAAAAAAAAGGTTTCCTTGCTTGGTTTTCCCCCAGTCCAATTCTTTTTTTTTTTTTTTTAAGATTGTATTTATTCATTTGTGAGAGAGAGAGAGAGAACGAGGCAGAGTGAGAGGGAGAAGCAGACTCCCCGCTGGGCTGGGAGCCAGATGTGGGGCTTATACCAGGACCCTGGGATCATGACCTGAGCCGAAGGCAGATACTTAACTATCTGAGCCACCCAGCTGTCCCTCCCCAGTCCAATACTTCATTTTGCCATTCCCCTAACACAGATCTCTCCTGCTCACCCTTCCTTATCTAATGTCTCTGAAGGCCTACAGCCCTGGGGCCATGTGGGAATATGTGAGTAAAAAATCACTTGATGAGCTTTTTGAAAATACCTGCACTCCCAGCCTCCCCGACCTCTATGGAAGGGTGTGCGTGTATTTAAAGCTCCCCAGATGGTTCTGACACACTTCATTGAAAACTTTTGGGCTGGTCTGTGTTACCATACCACAAACAGGATGCTGATATTGATATATATACTCAAGATAGAGAACTTTAACACCAGGATCCCCATGTTTTCCTTTTATAGCTACAGCCACCTCCCTCCCTCCCTAACCTCCCGCTGTCTGGCAGTCATTCATTTGTTCTCCGTTTCTATAATATTGTCGTTTCAAGAATGTTATATAAATCAAATCGCACAGTATAAACTTTTGGAGACTGGCTTTTTTTTTTTCACTCAGTGTAATTCTCTGGAGACCCATCCAGATTGTTGTGTGTATCAGTATGTATTCTTTTTTATTGCTGACTAGTATTCCATGGTAGGAATGTACCAGTTTGTTCAACCACTCACCTGTTGAAGGTCTTCTGAAGTTTTTAAAAATTTTTTAATTTTGTTGAAGGACTTCTGAGTTTTTTTTTTTAAAGATTTTATTTATTTATTTGACAGAGAGAGAGAGAACAAGTAGGCAGAGAGGCAGGCAGAGGCAGAGGGAGAGATGCGGGCCTCGATCCCAGGACCCTGGGCTCATGACCTGAGCCGAAGGCAGCGGCTTAACCGACTGAGCCACCCAGGTGCCCCAGGACTTCTGAGTTTTAAGGGAAAACACTTATTTCCTCTACTTCACTCACAACACTTTAAAAAAAAAAGATTGATTTATTTGCGGGGGAGGGGCAGAGGGAGAGGAAGAGAGACTTTCAGGCAGACTCCCCACTGAGTGCAGAGCCTGATGCGGGGCTCACGACCCTGAGATCATGACCTGAGCCGAAATCAAGGGTTGGATACTTAACTGACTGAACCAGCCGGGTGCTCCCACAACCAAATTGTGGGCTTTTCCCTCACACCAAGTAATTCTGACACTACCCCTTCTGGCATACTCCTTGGGTTAAGGGCTCAGTCCCTCAAGACTGACCCCACTTCAGGTGCCAATTGCAAGTCAGGGCCTCCTGTACTTCTGACCAACTGACAATAAATTGGGGGTCCCCACAACCCCCTCTTCAGATTCAATTTTTTGCTATAACAGCTCACATAACTCATGGAAACATTTACTTCTGTTTACTGGCTAAAAAGTTTGTAATAAAGTATACAGATGAACATCCAGATGAAAAGGTACACAGGGTGAGATCTGGAAGGGCCCTGAGGGCAGGAGCTTCTGTCTCCATGGAGTTCCAGCGTGTAGATGTGTCACCAACCTGGAAGGTCTCCAAACTGCATAGTTGAAGGATTTTTTATGGAGGCTTCATTATGTAGCCATGATCAATTATTAACTCAATCTCTAGCCCCTCTCCCCTCCCTAGAGGGTGGGGATTGGGGCTGAGAGTTCCAAGCTTCCAGTCATACCTTGGTCTTTCTGGTGACCAGTCCCCATCCTGAAGCTATCCAGGAGCCTACAAAGAGTCACCTCATTAGAACAAAAGATGCTCTTATTATCTAGGAAATTCCAAGGGATTTATGAACTCTGTGTCAGGAACTGGGAGCAGAGACCAAATATACATTTTTTCACAGAGTTCTTTATAGTTTTTGTCTATTACACGTATACCTGTTATAAATGTTTGTCTACAGGTTTTTGTGTGAACAAAAGTCTTCTGGAATAAATACTCAGAAGTAGAATTTCTAGATGGTATGGTATTGGCATGTACAGTTTTTAAAGAAATTGCAATACTCTTTTCCAGAGTGGCAGTACCATTTTACATTCCCACCCACAACGTATGAATGATCCAGTTTCTCTGCATTTTTCAGGGTTTAGAACTTTGGATAAGGAAGGACTTCTGAAAATAGGACCCTAAAATCACAAACATAAAGGAAATGATTGATAAATTCAGCATTAAAAAAATGTTAAACTTATTTTCATTAAAGGACACTAAATGTGGGGCGCCTGGGTGGCTTAGTCGGTTAAGCATCTGCCTTCGGCTCAGTTCATGATCCCAGAGTCCCGGGATCGAGCCCCGTATCAGACTCCCTGCTCAGCAGTGAGTCTGCTTCTCCCTCTGTCCCTCACCCCACTCGTGTTCTCTCTCACTCTCTCTATCTCTCTCTCAAATAATAAATAAAATCTTAAAAAAAAAAAAAAGGACACTAAATGTGAAAAGTCAAATATTATAAGCCAGGAAAATATCTTTGCAACACATAACTGACGGAAGAATAGTAGAAAATACATAAAACATGCCTATAAATGAATAACAATGACAAAAAACCCTATCAGAAAAATGGACTGAAGGGGCGCCTGGGTGGCTCAGTCATTAAGCGTCTGCCTTCGGCTCAGGTCAGGATCCCAGGGTCCTGGGATCGAGCCCTGCATCGGGCTCCCTGCTCAGCGGGAAGCTTGCTTCTCCCTTTCCCACTCCCCCGCTTGTGTTCTCTCTCTCGCTGTGTCTCTCTCTGTCCAATGAATAAAATCTTTAAAAAAGAAAAAGAAAAATGGACTGAAGACATGAATTGGCACTTTATAGAAGAGAAAACACAAACAGCCAACAAACAACAAAAAGGTATTCACATAAATACAGGGAACAAACTGCTGGTTGCCAGAGGGGTGGGGGTTGGGCAAAATGGTGAAGGGGAGAGGGAGGTACAGGCTTTCAGGTAGGGAGTGACTAAGTCATGGGGATGAAAGGCACAGCCTAGGGAATACAGTCAATGGTACTGTCACAACGTTGTATGGGGACAGATGGGAGCTACCCCTTCGGTGAGCAGAGCATAGCGTATAGAGTTGTCAGATCACTATGTTGTACAAGGTAACGTAACATTGTATGTCTGCTATACCTGAGTTAAAAAAAAAAGAGAGAAAATAAACACTGAGATGTGAAAAGGTTGTGAGAATACCCCTGGATGCTGCTAATGAAAAGAGAGTGGGAAGCTGGTAGAAATGACAACTCAAGAAGTTAGAAACATGATCAAACATTTGAGGACAGTAACATATCCAGGGCCAGTGGGCTGGGTTTTTTTTTGTTTTTTGGGTTTTTTTGAGAGAGGGAGAGTGCACAAGTCGGGGAGAGGGGCAGAGGAAGAAGCAGACTTCCACTGAGCAGGGAGCCCAGTTCGGGGCTTGATCCCAGGACCCTGGGATCATGAACTGAGCCGAAGGCAGACGCTTAACTACTGAGCCACCCAGGCACCCGTGGTCTGGTTTTTATAAACAGTTCATAAATTTCCAATGCACACTCTTAATAGAGGTTTACAATAGAACCTGGAGGAAAAGGAAATAAAGTTATTATCATAAGGGCTACTATTTATATATATCTTTTAAAGGGGAGAAGGATGGCAGGAACCAGAAGCACCCCCTCCAAAACTGAAATACTCCTAATGTTCCTGATGACAAGTCTAAGCTCGTACTAGCTTAAAATGTTTCTCTTCATTTGTAGGTCATATCTTAGACCACAAGGCTCACCTCAACCCTAACATATGAACAGGATGTTCTTTTGCAAAGGATATTGTCAATTATAATGATCTTGGCACAGAAAACCTAAAGTCACATTTCAATAAGGTAGAAAAAAATTACAAAATGACATCTAGAGAAATATAAATGTGGAGATGGGAAAGGGAAAAGAAATGATGCAAAAGTGATCTTAAGAAATTTGAAATTCCTCAAAGATGTGGTAAACACTTTTCATTTTATGCTACTGGCAAAAGTCAAGGACAAGTTTCTGCATGAGAAATA